TTCTTATTCCATATTACTTACGAACTGTCGTAATATAGAGTATTGTATTGTATGTGGATTGGTTAATGTTATATTATTTGTGTTGGAATATAACCGACTTTGCTGATTTAAAAACTTTCTTATTCTGTATTACTTACTAACTGTCGTAATATAGAGTATTGTATTGTATGTGGATTGGTTAATGTTAATGTTATATTATTTGTGTTGGAATATAATCGGCATTTCTGATTTTAAAAAATTTCTTATTCCGAATTACTTACGCACTGTCGTAATATAGAGTATTGTATCGTATATGGATTGGTTAATGTTATATTATTTGTATTGGAATATAATCGACTTTTCTGATTTAAAGTTGTTGGGTTTCAAACTCCAATTACTTACAGACTGGTGTGAGTATTTAAATTATATAAGATTATGTCTTTTTGAGAGACTAACTTTTATTACTGTATTATACTTACAATCCGTTAACTAATTTATAAGCTTCTTTTGCCCATGCATCATCTGGTTTAATTTTTAATAAGTTTTTCAAGTCGGTAATTGTTTCTTCATACCTTTCCATCATATAATTAATTTCTCCACGATATTTTAGTGCTATTTCTAATAATTTCTTTAATTTTATTAAGTTAGTAATTGATTTTTCCAATTTTACCATTTCTTCTTTCTTCTCCTCATCATCATCCTCATCCTCTTTTATTGGCAGTCTAATTAAACCCAAATCTTCCTTTTTGATTCGCCATCTAATTAAGCTATTAATTAAATCATCATCATTTTCTTCCTCTTCTTCCCTTTTCTCATCATCGTCTTCCTCATCCTCGTCCCATTCCTCATCCTCTTCTACTTCCTCATTCTCGTCATATTCCTCATCATCTTCTTCCCCTTCCTCATCATCATCATACTCTTTTATTAGCAATCTAATTAAACCAGCTAAATTTTCCTTTTTTATTCGTAATCTAATTAAGTCAGTTAAATCTTCTTTCTCTTCTGTTAGCAATCTACTTAACCAGATCAAGTCTTCCTCGCTCTCTTCTATTAACGATCTAATTGATACAGTTAAATCTTCATATGCTTCTTTGTATCTGCCTATAATTAATGAAGTTTTTCCTCGAGATATTAGTGCAAATGTATCATTAGGTTTATTTTTTAATTCGTCTACGTATTGATCAAAAGGTTTAGAATTGATCCAGCATGCTTCCCATAACTCTTTACCAATATCATCGTTAGTCATTGCTATCCATAAATAGACAT